AATTATTAATAAATTTTTATTGAATTGTTAATAAATAATTTTGTAATAAATTTTTAATAAATTGTTAATGAATTATTATCAGATTGTTAATGAATTATTTGATGAATTGTTGATATGCCGATTTTTTTGATTGCCAAATTTTTGATTGTCAAATTTTTGATTGTCAAATTTTTGATTGTCAAATTTTTGATTGCGAATTTTTGATTGCCACTTTATTGCCGAAATAATAATATACCAAGTGGTAGCAATCAAAAAGAATTTGACAATATTTTTATTATTAAATTTAATCAAATTCGGCAATAATTTGACTATCAAATGACACAATTTCAACTAGTGTCAAGATAGTTTAAAAGTAAAAAAATAATTTTTTTAACTGCAACAAACCTCTATTTTTTATAATTAATTTAATTATACTTATACATATTTAAAATTTTAATACAAATTATTTTTCTTTTTATAATTATAATCTTATTATAATTATGATCAATGATTTTAAAATTATTCTATAATTATGATCAATGATTTTAAAATATTCTATAATTATGATCAAATCCGATTATATTTATTTATTTATAATATACAGTATACTTTAACTTTGATATCCAATAATTGATAAGTGACAATTATTAATAATCTTTGGATACATTTATTTTCATACAATTATAATTGATGGGAATTAATTAATATACATATACTGTATATATTTTTTATTCGGAATTAATTTAATTAATAAATAATTAATATAATCTTTAAGGGTACAAATCTTTACCAAAAATGAAACGACCCTTCCTTTGTGAAGCGAAATTACTCTCTGCATATATTACATAAGGCGGCAAAAATTTTTTTATGCAGATTTACAAAATTACTAAAAAAAAATTATTCACTCGTGATGTAAAGGTGAAAAAAAATTTTTTAATCTTTAATTACAGAAAGACAGTGCCAGAACGTTAATTTAGTAAATTATCAAGCTGTTGTAGAAAAACAACGCAATTTTTCTGTTTTTAACAAGATCGGATACACAATATAGTACATTTATAAAAACAATGAAATATACGAATAATCAAAAATACAGTAAAAATCATCAAAAACGTTTCTTATTAAAGTCACAACGATGAGAAATGACCAACCACATTATTGATCAACCGAATCACCTTCGCCTTGCAACTTGAAAATATTAGAAACAACGGGGGAAGGGTAAAAAAAAAAAAGGGATTTTGAAAATTTTCAAAAATAAGTCTCATTAAAGTAGAAGTAGGGTAGGAAAAATAATTAAAAAAGCCTATTCACAGTGAATCCAACAAAGCTTTGCTCCTCATTGAAACCAGAAAAAAAAAAAAAAAAAAAAAAACTGAAGTATCCGCCAAATCTCTTTGGATGCCAACTATCGGATTAAAGAAGATCAGGTCAGGTCAGAAAAAGGGTATCGGTAGAAGTATTCCGAGAACATTCAATTTACATTTTTAACTAATTTCTATGCACTATTAGCGGCCCCAAAACTATTCAACTCTTCAATAAGGCATTATATGCGCATCATTTTCAGGATCATTATTTATTGATTGTTCTTGCGATTGTGGTGTCACTTGATATTGATCATCAGTGTTTTTGAAATATTGCTGTGGCGAAATCTGCGGATACTGTGACATCACCGCACCTGAAGAGTTGGGTGAATAATACTGGGCTGGAGCCGACGCGTAATGGTGCTGAGGAGCGGGGCTCTGAAATAATCAAATTGTAAAGTTCATTAATCAGCAATTGAAAAGGGCTATTATATAAAACAATTAAGATTCAATCGAAAAACCCCTTTGATACTTGAACGACCATATTTACCCATATTACCTCCACGTATTGTTGTTGATCCAAAGTTATCATTGGGGACATTGTGGCGGTGCTGCCTATACCTACGGTCTGTGTGGTTTGTACACGATTAATACCCACCGAAGGGTCTTTAGGAACTGGGGCAACCCACGTTGGCTGAGCAGCCACATAGTTATGAGATGCTGTGGTGGCACCATATTGAGGTACTAAAACGGGCTGAGGCCAGTAACAAAAACTTGGCGGAGTGTTTGGCATAAAACTCGGATCCATTATCGGAGTTTGTAACGATGGCGCGCCATTTTGAGAAGGCAACGATGTTCTCCTTAAATGAAGAAAGAAACATAAATTTTCGTTGAATGAGTTGTTACTCAACATTGGCATTGACACTTACCGGTCTTGAACATCGCTGATATTTTGATTAGCAACATTTAAAGGCTGTGTTAACATAAGTTGCATGTAAGGTGAAGAAGCTGTTTGCAGAGGAGTCTTATGAAATTCTGCAATCAGCCGCTCGCCGACAACTGGTTCAACCTCGGTACCGTCTCGACTGATCTTCACTTCGCGATTTGCGTTCCAAGGATTGCGGAGGTGGCGCGTTCGAGTAAACGGTAATTTCTGACTAACAATTAAATAACAAAAAGGAGAATTAAAAAAAAAAAAAAATTTTTTTTAGAAAAAGAAAAATCAAAATGTGTTACTAACACTTTGATCCATTCTATTTTAAATGTTGTCCCCCAATTTCTTGAAGGAACGACGTCATCTTCACCATCTTCATTCTCCTCGTCTTGAGACTTTTTCGTTCGCACCTTCGATTCATCCGATGCGGGTGAAGGTCGCGACGAGGAAGCGGCTAGTGCTGCTTCGTCAATCGGAGTCCATTGGACAGTCTCGGTCATCTCTTTGCTAATCGGACTTATCATTCTAAAAAAAGAAAACGCCTGTTTAATAAATTTGGCTATAACGAAAATTTCTGAACAAGAAAAGCATAACCGCTGTTGCGATGCTTACTTCGCGTATCCATAAAATTCGCCACTCTTATTAGCACTAAATATCAGAAAAACGTGTTCCGCATTCTTGATTTTTAGAATAATAATAAGTCCCTAATCGTCCGTTATGACAATCATGAGAAAAGCAAATAATAAAGTGACTAACTTTAAAAGCTTTATTCAGGGAAGCCTCATTATGAGGTTGCGTGGCCCAGAGTCCAGTTTGCACGGAAATATCAAGATCATCTTGAGTCAAAGACTTCAGAATGAAATATCTGTTCTGGGACGGAGGCTTTGACGAGGATACAGAAGAGGCGGGCGACATTGGCGCAACCGAAGGTTGTCGAATTCGTTGACGCGGTGGTATGGACGACCTACGGGACCTCGTGGAAGAAGACGCGGTAGATCCTGTCTCTGAAGGGGTAGGCGGAGGTGTATGCTCCGAAACCAAAGACGACAGAGATTCAGACTTCTTTAGATCTGCCTGCGTTTGCTGAATATTCGCGTATGTTGTGTAAGCTTAGGTGAAAAGAATTATGCTGGACGAGGATTGAAGTTAAATGATAACTCACCTTGCTCGGTCGGCAAACGAGCTTGATACCTTTGAAGTCTAAAAGGGATCAATATATATACATACATATTTATATATATATTAATTTAAGAACACTTTTAATTAAATATTTTTGCGAATCTACATGTCTCATTACCGTTTTCATTGTATTTTTCTGCAGCGGCAACGACTACCTCGTGTGTTTTGTAATTTACAAAGGCACAATTTGATTTTTTGATTAGAAATACACTCTAACAAAGATAATAAAGGTCATTATTATCTTGTAATTGTTTGTTGCCCAAACATTTGTGAGATTCCCTTCGTGCAATTACCTCCATATTTTCATCCGCGAAGAAGTCTTTCAATTCATCGTGAGTAGTAGATTCTGGTAGGTTTCCTACCCAGAGAGCTTTGTCCAGTTCCTTGGGTTTCTTCTGTTGATATATCCTTTGAGCGTGTTGTGGACTAAATTCAGGATTTCTAACTTGATCCAAAGAGCTTCTCCGGGAAGAAAACCCGGAGTCTCCTCCGGCACTAGAAGGACTTAGATACCTTGTAGGAAGAGGTGAAGTTGGAATCAAGGAATTGTGAAAGGAGGGGTGGGGATGCATTTGGGCGATTAAGGGTATTTGAGAATAAGGATAGACATTTGATCTGACGAAAGTAGGTTGGGCCGAGGGAGGGAGGTGAGTAGGAGAACGACCAAATCTGTACTGTGTATCATAAATAAATTGTCCATTATTCGGAAGGAAGGGTGTAAAGTATTGGGAAGTAACGGGAATGAATTGGGCACTTTGATTCGAATACATTTGTGGAATCTCTTCGTATATTGATCCAGTCAGGTTGTGACTATTCGAGTAGGAATGACCGACGCTGTTAACATTTGCAGTGTTTGTACTGGCAGGATTAGAAGAGGATGATGAGGGAGTATCGACGTTTGTTACGGTAATGTTAATCAGTGAACTAGATGATGTTGAATTTCGACGCTGATGCGTATTTGAACTAGATTGGGGATCCAACAACCTTTGAGAATTATTACCATTGACACTTTGTCTCCGAGAATTCACGTTTTCATCTTGATCATAATCGGGTATACCATTGACACTATTGTCTCCGGCGTGACCATTTGGCACACCGGAAGTGACGTCCTCGCCAGAAATATCATTGAACGTGGTGTTATTGGACTTGGCGACATTGTCTCTACCTGAAGATATGCTTTGACAAGCGTTGGGAGAATTTGAAATGACTTTTTCATTTAACTCTCTCTGTCGTCTAGCGTTCACTTTCAATTCTTGGCTCGATTCAGCCGTTGAACTTGGTTCATTTTGAAATGGTTGTCCTTGAAGACTCGAATGCGCCTGAGACGCGGATTTCTTAGAAGTCGCACACGAAGGTATGTTTTCTCGTGATTCCTTGTTTGACGATGTCGTTTGTTGAGATTCCACTCCAGCCAACTCCTCGCAAGACATTCTTAGGCGGTTTTTATATGGACTTCTTTGAAAAAAACGAGTATATATATATATATGTATGTATGATATATATATTAGGAGAAAAAATTTTTTCTTAATAAAAATGGTTACCCTTCGTTTCGCTTTGATTTTCAAGTGTATAAAACACAGTTTCTATGCCAAAAACAAAATTGTGCTATGACCTTCGAAAATGGTACAAGAAGAAAAATAATAATACAAAGAAGTATGTATAATAAAAATATTTACAGGAAGAAAAAA